ATTTATTTTTTTCGTGGTATAATTATAAATGGATCTGCTGCAGAGGTGGGAACTGACTGTGGCGTTGAGGATTCTCTCAGCCTGGGTTGTTACTGCAGATTAGATGTCAGAATGACTAAAAGGTCAGTGAAAATGTGGAATGAAAATATAGCCCTCGCGACATGCTTCCAACAAGTCGTAACATTTTACTACCAGGATTAAAGTTGTTGGCTTTAGGACGCAGTTAGCGTTTTAAATGGAAACGCTGTAATAGAAACGAATGGGAAAATGTCCAAACATGGCAAAACGCACCTGAAAGCATCACAAAGCTCTCTAATGATGGATCTGTTTATCCAACACAACAAAGCAAGAAACAATTCCAGTGGGAAAAAAATGAATAAAATTGACATAATGCTCTGAAAAAAGCTGCAGATTTTTATTTTTGCACACTTTTCCTCCTTTTTTCCCCCATTCAGGATTCACTCGAGAAGGAGAAAATGATTGGAAGTATTTTTTTTTTAAACATCTTCACTAAGAACCAAATGTAAGCAAAACAAGTTTAATTTACAACACTTTGAAAAACACTTGAAGGGTTCAGGCCGCAGCCCACAGGAACAAAACAAGGGAAGAAGACCATCGTGGAGCGGTTGTGTAAAAAAGATGGCCAGACTGTTTGAGTTGGTGCACAAATGTTGCTTAATGTTTCAATTCCTAACATCTAAATCAGATTCATCTCTCTGTGGAGTTGTTTTTGTGAAATTGTGGCTCCTATTTTATCACCATGTAATTTTTTTTACCCTGATTTAGAACGTTAAAGACTCAAATTCAGTCCAGATCAAAACATTTTACATAATAGTGTGTTCCAAAATGTTACTAAGTATTGGAAAATAAATATAGTTTAGCTATTTCACCCAGTACCATGTGTGATTTGCATTAAAGTGACTTGTTGGATTCAGTTGAACTTGGATGTGCAACAGGAAGTGCTTTAAAGATGTGTTTGCATCTTTCCCTCCAGGCCACCGTCACTTTGACAAAAGCATTACAGCGTGGAATGGATGAGTGGCAATCTGTCACTGATTATCTTTGGCTGGCCATCCTCACATAGGGAGTCATTTTCAGACTCATCACATAAACAGATGTTGACAAGCTGCTCCTCACCACTGATCAGTACATTAATGCACCATTTTTTTTTAAAGCACATTAAATCAAAATAAAGGTGAATGATAAATTCATTAAAAGTAGAGGTCCACTCATGCTTTTAGGGCAAAAAATGTAAGATCTGAAGTTGAGCACCTTGCTTATAATTAAAATATTTAGAAGGGAATAAATGTAAAGCCAGAGTTTGGAACCGGAAGTTGACTTAAATGTCACCAAATTGCGCATGAGCTTCACCAAAACGTTGCATTTAAATGTTGTTTTAAGTTCATTTTATTTCTTCTCCTATGTAACAAACAAATATCACGGAGGGGAGTGTTTGTTTACCAGGAGGTTCCAGAGGTGCAGCGGTCTCACCCCGCCACAGAGCGCTAATTGGAGTGGCCTCATTTAGCAACACGTCAAAAAAGGTGGTGGGGTGGAGGAGAGAGAGGGTGGAGATCTCCTGCGTGGGTCTCAGCCCTAATGGCGTGTCACACATCACAACTGATGCGATGGGGGTCACCATGAGCCCATGTTTCACTATAACGAACCCGCTCGTGCTCCATGGCACCGCCGCAAGAAGCAAACAGAAAAAAAAAAGAAAAGTAAACGGAGATTAATGTCCCAATCTGTGATGTGGTTAAATAAAAAAAAAAAGAGCAACCGAACTGCACGAGGTGTTTCTGGATTGTCAAAAAGCGCAAAAAAATAAAAAATAAAAAGAAAGAAGAGGATGTCTTTTTTTTTATTATTTAAAAAAAAAAAAAAGTGAAATCAACATCCCTCCAGTTTGACAAGCTTTTTCCTATCAGGTGGATTCTTGGGGTGAGTTGCCCCATGCAGCTGCTGTCAGTGGAGCAAACAGAAGATCTGAGATTTGCAGCAAAATAAACAAAAAAACAAAAACAAAAAAAAAAAGCAAAAATATGACAGATATGAATCGTGACTCAGTGTTTGAGTTGAAAAAAAAATTTAACTTTTGTGAAACATTTTATCATAATCTTAAAGCTTACATAAGATTATGAATTATTATTATCAAAATTATATTGACAACTTAAAGAAATAGATGTTTGCATTCATTTACAATGCATGCCATTACAAATCCATTTTAGTCCATTCAGCCTCTGTTGTAAAAGGTTCAAAGCATTGACTCTATCCATAATCTGGCAGTAAAACCTTTATAAGGCACCGAAAATAATAAAAAGGAGCTTTTTAGACATGTTTTACAAACGTCTGTGCGCCAATAAAGTTAGCAGATTTTGACTTGAATTTGACCTTTTCCTGCAACTTCAGTGCATCTGAACTTTTTTCCCAATTCTGCTGCGGTTAAAAAAAAGAAAAAAATATATATACATTTATATATAATCACGTGTTCATTTCAGCAAGACATTTAAAGCTAAAATGCAAATGTTTAACTTGAGGATTTTACGCACATCAGAGCGCACGGGCACCTCTTTTATTACCTTCAAAACTTGGCCTCCAACTGTGAATAAATCTCTGCAGGAGCTTTAAAAACCGAAAGGTTGTTCCCAAAGATGGAGCTCGCAGCTTTTTTTTTTTTTTTAAATATGATCCAAATATCAGAATTTAAAAAAAAAAGAAGAAGAAATCTGCTCCTGCGTTTGAGGATTCGGCCTTGGAGACGTCTGCGCCATGCACGGCTCTGCCTGCTGTCCTGATGCGCAGACGAGCTGCAGAGTGCGTGTACCTTGGTAACACACACGCGCTTTACTGGCCACAAGTGCTGCTGATAAATATTCATGACGCTGGCGCTCGCGCTTCCCCCGATATCTGAGCGTCTGTCATTACCAGACTCGAGCGTAAATACATTTGAAGTGGATGTTTTTTACCTCCCGCACGCGCTCCTATTTGATCAGGTCTCACCGACATCTGCAGCCTGTCGTCAACACATCTTTTACTAGCATTTCGTTTTCTTCCTCGCGCACAGAATCAGCGTAAAGCAACGCGACAGAGCCATAAAGCCGCACAGTTGAGGCTCGCGTTCAGTCGCGCGCAAGTGCCTAAAAACAGTATTAGTGAGCGAGATATACTCCATGCATTAATGCCATCAGCTTCACACTCAAATGTTTTCTCAAGTTGAATTTAGATGTCAAATAAAGCAGTTCATGGGGGTGGATTTGGCCTTTTTAGACATTTAAACGGAGTTAAAGTCTCATATTTCCACTTATATGCGAGCATTTTTGCTCTAAACCTGCTTCCCCAAACATACGGCCTTCACTGCGCCCCCCTCTATTTTTTTATTCTTTATTATTATTTTGTATTTTCCTTGCAGCGCATCAGTGGAGCATCTGCACTGGGGCCAGATAGATAGTGTTAAATAGAGTCGAAAAAAGTCATTTTATTGCCATCCTTCATGTATCCCCACCTCTAATAGTCCGTGAAAAGAAAATATGAATACATTTCAATACATTTCGACAAATCATTTCTGCTGGAGAGTCATCTTTTTTTTACGCAGATGTGAAGAAGTCTCCTTTTTTGTATATAGCATGCTCTTATTTTTTTTAAGGTTTGGGGAATTTTGTTGTTTGGTTTTGTTGCGTTTTTATTTTATTTTTGCACAAAGCTGCAGCCTGACAGATCCTATGGATATGTACAGACTGGCAGTGTTAACCATGATCAGTGCTGATGTGATCTCTGCCTAATGGGGCGGTCGAGTAAGCTGCAGCCAAGAACAATGAAGGAGGGTGTGTGTGAGAGAGAGTGTGTGTGTGTAAGGGGGGTTACTAACTCCCAGGCTTCCTTCCTTCTCTTAGAACTCTATACAAAATTCAAAGAAAGGCAGGAAAGAAGGGGAAAAAAATAAATTAAATTTGAAAATGAGATTCCCGAACAATTAAGTAACGCAAAATGGCTCACTCCGGTTTATCCACGGAGGAACAACACAATCGTGATTAATCGATTTAATTTGCACATTACTGCAGGGCAAAGTGGTGGATGTTAATTTTGGATAAACAGAAGAACACAGAGGCAACAAAAAAGGGGGAAAGCGCACACACTTTTACACACTTTCTCAGGCACGTGCAGCCAAAAAACCCCGCCTCATATATGTTTCCATTCCGTGCGTCATGGATGCCAAACGTCTGTTTTAGTCACTCCATCAAACTCCAAGAACTTCCAAACGTATTAGTGTATTTTTTAATCCTTTAATATAGTACGAAATGTATCCAAACATTGTTTTCTTGTTTTTGCTGTTTTTTTTTTTTTTTTTTTTTCTTGCTTATAAACTAAATTTTACACACGAGCGCATTTCTCCATAAATACCGATCACTTCTAACATCGGCTCTTTCACATGCGGATAGATATGGAAAAATTGAGCTACTTAACATGGAATTCCTTTCAGACAAAGCTTGACAGAGATGTATGTGTTTGTTTGTTGTTGTTTTTTTTAAATATATATTTATATATATATTCATCACGTACATAAACAGATCGACACGGGATTTTTCAGGCTTCCACTACACGATTTATCGACATGACATTAAATAACAACAATGATACTCTGTGCTACTCAAAACTGGACCTTATTGGGACAAACAAACAAACAAACAAAAAATAATTGAAATTAAAATAAAAGTTGCACTGGATAGGCTACAAAAAGCACATTTAAATACTAAGAGTCGGTTAAGGTCGACGTGGAGTAATACTGAATAATTCACATTTTGGTACACAACTAGAACATTCTTGTCCATGAAGAGTCTATTATATACTCCATATAGGGACCACATTTTCCCTCCCCACACAAAATCACCCCCCCCCCCACTTTAAACTGTGATAATATTTACAAAATAAAATCTTACATTTATGCACACACACCCCCCCTCACAAAATCCTTATATGTACAAGAAGCTAGAGATAGCATGCTTTTTTTTTTTTTTTTTTTTTGGAGTTGATGTGTCTCTCAGGAAAAATAGAGTCAAAGAAATATCAAAGGGTGGTGGAGGGGTGGAGGGGGGGGGGTCACATTGTCCGTGCCTCTTTTTATTTTCTTCTTCTTTTTTTTTTTTATTATTATTGTGTCCATGCATGAGTTTTTGGGGCCTCTCGTGATTCGTCAGTCCATCTTCCTGACTTAAACAGTCCAAGTTTTTTTTTTCTTCCTTTCTTTAAATTCTGCAACCCCCCCCCCCTTTTTTTTTTTTATTTATTTATTGTCCTCAAAAATATTTACACGTACCATTCATTGAAATTTGACGACAGCGTGCTGTGGCTGGCTGTGTGGTGTACTGCTGAGGCTGCTGGTGATATGGAGTTGCTCTGGTTCTCTGTGGACGGGGACACTATGGTGGGGGGTGTGGACGACTCGTACCCTGAACTGGCCGCAGGAGAAGGCTGCGATGCTGGGTTGGTGGATTCGTGGACCTGCAAAATATATACAATTTTTAATATAAAACAGGAGGGGGGAAAAATAAAATATAGTGCATCCGATTGTCGTGGAAAACCAAAAATAAAGCTGATATGTGCAAAAAATTCAACAAAGACCCCCCCCCCCCCAAATTAAAACAAAGGGAAGAAAAAAAAAAACAGATTAGTCCTTTTAAGATCTTAATCTGATTTGACGCTTGAGAAAATAAAAGGATTGTCAAAACTAATTAACTTCCGGTGAGAGTGACAAAATTGAACTGAACACAAGAATAGCCAAAAAAAAAAAGTAACAAAAACATTAAAATTGTAAAAAAAGTAAAATACATATTTTTTTACCTTCATGTGTTTTCGGAGGGAGCTGGGGTGTGTGTAGGACTTGTCGCACATTTTGCAGAGGTACGGCTTGTCCGACGTGTGCACGTGCATGTGTTTCTTGCGGTCGCTGCTGTTTGCAAAGCGCCTGTCGCAGCCTTCAAACTCACACTTGAAAGGCTTCTCACCTGAAGGATGCAGGAGACAAACAGGGTTCCATGTCAGAGCATAAATAAATTAATCCACATTTTGTTTGGTTTTTTTTTGCTCTTTGACACATCATTTTCTGTCATTCTTGTATTTATATATAATTAACCAAACTGTTAAATTGCTATAATTAAAATGGGAAATATCTTTTTTTTTTTTTATTAAAAGCTTTTATAGAATATTCCACCCAGATCATTTTGTACATTTTATTATTATTATTAATTCTCTGCACATATGTCCAGGAATTAAAAATATTCTGTTTGGTTTGGTTCAGCCAGTCTGAGCTTCTTACCAGTGTGAGTCCTTTTGTGAATTTTTAGGTTTTCCGAGCGCGCGAACACTTTGCCACAGCCGGGGAACGGGCACGGGAAGGGCTTCTCTCCGGTGTGCACTCTGATATGATTCACAAGTTTGTATTTGGCTTTGAACGGCTTCCCTTCTCTGGAGCAGTCCTCCCAGAAGCAGACGTGGTTCGTCTGCTCGGGCCCCCCCACATGCTCCACCGTCAGATGGGTCACCAGCTCGTGCATGGTGCTGAAAGTTTTGTTGCACGACTTCTTGGGGTTGCTCAGCTGCTCCGGCTCGATCCACTTGCAGATGAGCTCCTGCTTGATGGGCTGCCGCATGTATCGGAAGAAGGCCCCCGCTCCGTGGTGCGCGGCCATGTTCATGTTCATGGGGCCGTAGCCGTGCAGCTGTGTGGACGCGTAGTGGTCGGATCTGGGGCTCGTGACATGGCCGTACTGGTCGGCCCGGCCGTACATGTCCCCAGAGAAGCCCAACCGCATCTGGCTGTTGACCACGTTGGATGACGCGTGGCTCGCCGCCTGCTCGTGGAGCCCCGGGAAGAGCAGGTGCCCCGCTGCATCCGAGTGTCCATGCGGCCCTGCGAAACTTCCGGAGGCGAACAGGCTGTGCTGCGCCCCGGCGGCATCACCGAACCCGCGGTTTCTGAACAGAAAGTCCCTGGTGGAGTTGAAAGCCGCCGTGGAGTAGGAGCCGACGTGGGTCGGGTGGTGGTGGTGTCCCAAGGCGGCCGCTGCGTATCCCGGAGCCTGGGAGGAAAACGCCGTCTGTCCGGAGCCGATGTCGTGGGAGCTGTGGTTTATTTTGAAGGCGCCCATCCCATCCGCGAACGGGTTGATGCCCAGCGCCACTTCCCTCTCCGCCACTTCGCCTGTTGAGTGATGCCGCGAGGAGCCGAAAGTAGTGACTCCTATCGTGGGATACTGCGGTCCTGCGTCCAGGAGCATCTTCAGTCTGGAATCGCCGAGACGACTGAGAGGAATGAAAAAAAACCACGCGCAGATATTCTTCCCCCTTCTCTCTGCTGTCTCTGTACCCGCCGCCGCTGAGCAAACTCAAATCCAAAGATTTTTTTCCTTCCTCCCCTTCTCTCCTCCTGTTTACTTTTTCTCCAACGCGAGGAATTCCCCCGCACCGCTCATCCGACGCACAGAAAAGCCGCGCATATAGACGCGCAATATTGTCTTTTTGCGGTTTATCTTCCCGCAGCGCAACTTTCACCTCCTCAGTCAGGCGGTGAGCTCTAGACTGATAGTCGCAATCATTCCTGCAGATAAATGAATTGAAAAGACAACACACAGTCCCAGCCCTGATGAATGGGAGAGGAGGGGGGCGGTCACGTGGCGCCGGAACCACTCGCTCATTGGCGGAGCCGCTCTTTTATCTCCCCTCTCCAAGCAACGCGCACAAATAACAATCCGCGGTGCAGGGCCCGCACTTCCATTCCTCTTTACATCATCAGTCCCAGATATTTTCAGACTGCTGACTGTGACTTTAGTTAAACGGCTGAATAATAGCAAAACAAAGGCTGTTAGCTGTAAAAATGTCCTGACTTCTAACAAATAACTTGTTTTTGTAGCAACATGTTGTCAGAAAGTGTAGTGTCACGCTTTGTTCTAACCTTTTAGAAGCGCCTTGAATAGTTGTATGCAGTTAAACCCTAAGCTGACTCAAAATGTGTTTAAAAGTAATAATATACAAAGTGAGTGATAGACATGATCATTTTTGCATGTCTCCCTTGCGCACAATGGGAGCTCACCTTAAACACCTGGGTTCCACGCTGGGCCACGCGCTCCAAGCTTCTCCCTTAAACATGCAGGCCAATGTTTAACTTCCTAATGTCTCCACCGCGGGTTTGGCTGCCTGAAAATGTGCAGCTTGCTCATTCGTCGCAGACCATGGTGCACATAACCCGTGCGTAATAAAGAAAAAAAACGTGTGGGTTGTCGAAGTTATCAAGTGGTATTTGCGGTGCTCTCTGCAGGAAACTCCGACTGCTTTGAGTTCAAAACCTCAATGCACTGAAGGAAAAATATCTACTTGTTTCACGCCAGTCTCTGCAGGAAGGAGGTCGTGGAAAGTGTTTTGGTGTCAACTTTACAATCAGACTTGCAAGCTTCGTCTTTTCATCTTCAACGTTTTGTGTCCTCTTCTGTTTGCACAAATTTATTTATTTATTTATTTATTTTCAACAGGTGGGAAAAGGGTAAAAAAAAAAAAAAAAAGGGGGGGGGGGCACTTTTTTATGAAATAACGCAAGCGTCATAAACTGCGGGTCACGCACTCCTCTGTGCAACAAGTGAGGCTAAACTTGGTGCCCTAAAAGAGAAGTTACGCAAAACTTTGGAAGCAAATAGCTTCAAAGGAATGTTACATATTTGGTTTGAAATTAGGTTAAATTTAGACATAGAGCCAAGATAATGTGCTAAATTTCATTTTCAGCACTTTATTTTAAAGCTTTGCAATGAAAGCAACCAAGAAAAGTAGCCAATTTGACGTTTTATGAGTCCACGCTGCAACTCTAAGCGATTCTGTTTATGATCCTACCTACTCCTCCCCCAATAACACACACACACACACACACACGCATGCTTACATGCCGCCAAGTGTGAGTGAGTAAGTGCATATACACCACTTGGACCAGAAATAGCACTTCCAAGTTTTGCGTTTCACACCGCTGCTGTGATGCGTGTGATTTCTGCAGCTGCGCGCGCCTCTTTGGACCCTCGCGCCTCTGGAGGCCTCATAATAAACATCTTTGGGATCCGCCACCTCTCCAAACATTGACTCAGTTTCTAACGTGCTGGATATGATGCTGTCAGCAGTGAAAGTGACGGGTTAATTCATGGAAATGAATAAAGTTTGGATTCTTCTGCAACATAACGTGAACATTATGTTAAATAAGAAATAAAATTCATGTTTTTTTAAGAACTTAATGTCAGCTGTCATCCTTAAGTATTCTTCTTCTTTAAACAAAGATTAGTAATTAAAAACATAACTGAAAAGTCTGATAATTTGTTTATTTTGCAATCTTCCAAGTCTGACACTCGACTTACAGTTAATAAAAAAGTACAATAATAATAATAATAAACAGCAAATCATTCAAATGGAAATTACATAAACAATTTACAAATAGAAGTTGCGTCATTCCCACGTTTTCCCTTCACAAAAAGTTTAATCACAACTTAAAAAAAGAAACAAAAACAACAACAACAAAAACGCAGGGTTAACAAGTTTTGGTTTAAAAAAAAAACTAGTTATTAAACTGTTATGATGCAAGAAAAAATATGTCAAAATCTCCCTAAATATAATGAAATCTGAAAAAAAAAGCTAATTTGTTACATCAGACAAAACCAGTCGAGGATTAGAAGTAACTTAAAACATTTCGTTGCTTCATTTTTTTTAATCTTTTAAATGCATTAAGCAATAAAAATCCCAGTCCAAGTAAACGTAAACAACAAACAAACAAATAGGTCCCACAGTGCCATTTTAGGATAAGTAAAGAATCATATATTTGCTGTAAACAATGAGCCAAATCAGAAAAGGATCAATCAGACATGTTTTATGGATCAGATACTTACAGCAACACACTCTCGCTTTTTATTTTCAACTCAACTCTGCCACGACACCACCTCCTGTGACCCTCATCTGCTGCCGTCCGGGCTCTAAAGCAGAACCACCCCGGATCATAACGGTTTCCGTCCGTTACTTTTTTTCCTCCTGCAGAAGGAATGGCCGCGGCTCGCTTGATTCCCAACACACGCACGGATCTGACTGCGCAGAACGAGAAGTCAGCAAAGCAGAACGGGCTGAGGTGCAAACGGCTGCGTGAGGAAATATCAACGCGCACATTTTTTTTTCAACTCGGTTTTAAAAACTCCTCGTGGCGGATTTGTTTCTAACACAACTTTTACTCGACCGCCGCCGATCGTTTCTGTGCGTAAATCTGTGCGTAAAAGTGTGCGTAAAAGTGCTCCTGCACACGTTGCGGTGCAAAAATGAAGATATCACTGCATTATTTATGATCCACACAACTTTTAGAGTGACAACATGCGCGGCAGCCTGTTTTTGGAATCTCACATTCAAAGCAGGAGTCGCCTTCTCATCGCGGCGCAGCTTTTGTTCCACAAAGAAAATAAAACAGACTCTCTTTAAAAATCCGATTCAGCTTTTTTAAGAGTTATATTCTACACAAAACCTTTGCGCAACTGTGTTTTTTTTTTTTTTTCTTCTCTCCAGATTTGCCTGTGGGGGTGCGCATGCGCGCTCGCTGCCAACCAGACATTTTTCATCACGTTGGAAACTGTCACTTGTGACGTCAATCACAGAGCGTTGACCAATTAGAGCGCAGGGTGATTGTTTAGCTCCACGGGCTGCAGCGCCTACCATGAATCTCTATTCAGTATCAAAGCGTCCTGCTGCTGCCTCTCAACCGAATGGGATTCCATGTTGTCTGCAGATAGACTTAACTTTATAAAGTTTTTTTTTTTCCTTTATTTGTCATCGCGATTAAAACATATTTGTCATCATCATTATTATTTTGCCTGCTGTCAAGTTATTCTAAAATTAGTTAGTAATGAGCGTGGATGCTTTGGGAAGCCCCGTGATGGACCCTGCGTTTTCCAAACGGAACACGGCGTTGAGATTAGTTGACTTGGCAGGGGCTCACCACCATCACCATCATCACCACCATACCCCTCAGAGCGTGACAGGCTTCCCGGGGTTCAGCAGCCATCCACACTCAATGGCTCACTCGCACCCTGGGGAGATTACTGCGGAACCCCGCCTGGGGCCGAGTCCATTCGGGCCAGAACACATGGGGCACTCCGCGGCCCTCAAAATCAGCCCAGCCCATCATTATCCCCACCACCATCACCACCACCACAATCATCATATGGCAGGCCACAGTGAAGTGGTCTCCAGTCAAACGGGAGCTTTTGGCCCGGTCCAGGCGACATCGGTTCCTTATCATATGTCTCACCCGGTCCAGGCTCTGTCCGCAGGTAGGGATTTCCTCATCCGGAGAGATCTGACAGCTCAAGCCATGCCAGTGCTCACTGACCAGACTGCTGGTCCAGCCTCTCACCACGGAATGTTTGTTTCAACAACAGGTAGCTACCCCGGACACTATGGTCACCACCCCGACGCTGGGAACCATACCCTCTTCTCCGGACTGCACCACGAGCAGCCATCCAGCGGATCACCGGGTGGCCAAGCGCTGAATGGACAAATAAGGTTAGGACTACCTGGAGAAATGTACGTTCGCTCTGATCACTTGAGTCAAGTTGCAAGCTCCAGGGCTGATCCGTTCTCCGCCTCGCCGCTGCACGGCTACGGCGGTCTGAACCTGAACATGAATCTGGGCGCGCACCACCACCACCACCACCCCCACCACGGAGCAGGCGCGTTTTTCCGCTACATGAGGCAGCCGATCAAGCAGGAGCTCATCTGCAAGTGGCTGGAGCCGGAGCTGTCGCCCAAGAAACTGTGCTCGAAAACTTACAGCACCATGCACGAGCTCGTCACGCACGTGACGGTGGAGCACGTCGGAGGACCCGAGCAGGCGAACCACATATGCTTCTGGGAAGAGTGTCCGAGGGAAGGCAAGCCGTTCAAAGCCAAATACAAACTTGTTAATCACATTCGCGTGCACACCGGGGAGAAACCGTTCCCGTGCCCGTTCCCTGGGTGTGGGAAAGTGTTTGCAAGATCCGAGAATCTAAAGATTCACAAAAGGACGCACACAGGTGAGAATAAACGTTTTTTTTTCTTACAATAAATAAAGCTGACTAAAAAAATATATATATAAAAAGGGAAAAATTCTCATTTTGCATGATGAAATTAAAAATCAAACTTTACGTGTTGTGGATATTCCATGTTTTCTCTAATTTTACGCATTTAAATGCTAATGAGTGGGTGCGCGCAGGACGCAGCAGCTATACCCTCCACCTGTTCGTGTTGGATTTTGCCAGCAAGTTTTCCAGAGGTTGGATGTGCAGGATCATGGCGCATGCAGGGCTTTGACGGCTCAACCTCTTGTTTACACGAGCAGCACAAAGACAGAGGCCCACGTCATGTCTTGGTTAAGCAGCTGAGTTAGTGACTGCAAAAGAAGTTTCAGCACTTTATGATTAAATATTAATGTTTCAACTTTTCAAGGGATCAGCTGCAGCCATTTGCAGCTTTGCTTCCTTTGTTGCTGTTATTTCTATTGTTTTTATTTGGTCTGGATCCTCATGTTTTGTAGCCAAAGCAACAAGTTGACAAGTGCAGACGAGGGCCACTATGATTTATTAATCTGTGAGCGATGCATGCCACTCCTGCCTGC